TAGATACCAACTTTATTTTTTATTTTCAAAAAACAAATTTCCCTATCAATACTTGGTAGTGACCTAATGATTGCAAACATGCTAATTCTGACTACATAACATATTTGAGTATGCATGCTGTTTAATAGCACTCTTTTCTTTGTGTAGATTTGTTTTAAATTCAATTTTTTTTAGAAACTGCAAAAAATAATACAAAGCGATCTTATATTCCCTTTAGTTAGTTCCCTCTAAGTATCAAATGACAGTATTTAATTATTATTTTCCAGGTCTAACTAAGAAAATGTCACATTTCCTCAAAATAAAGACTTCACTTAATATAATAAGAAATGTCACAGAGTGATATCTAACAATACCATCTTTCAAAATTAGAATTAAATATCACAACCTACATAGTGACATTGCTACTGTCAAGATATAAAATATTTCCATCACTACAATGCTCCCTTGTTCATGGTGCAATTTTATTTATTCACTTACTTCCCTCCCAACAGAATCCTTTTCCAAACTATTGGCAAACAATAAGATGTTCTTGATTTCTATAATTTTGCTTACTTAGGATTATTAGTTAAATGGAATAATAAAATATGCAATCTCTAAAAATTCATCTTCACTAGAATAATTCTCTAGAACAGTCATCCAACTATTTGATTTGTGAATATTTTGTCCTTTTGATTAATGCATACTATTCCATGATATGGACATACTAAAGCTTGTTTAACACATTGAAGGATAATGTGGCTGTTTGCGTCAAAGTATAATTGAGGTGTTTTCAGGTTTGAGTGATTATGAAAAATACTGCCATAAGTATTCATGTACAAGTCTAGTGAGAACGTAAGTTTTTATTTCTCTGCAATAAATATTCAAGTGTGCAATTGCTGGGTCTGCCATACTTTCTTGTGCCTACCTGTTTCCCACTTTTAGTGATCAATGTATTCATATCTATTAATATATATTTTTTGGTACTAGGGTTTGAACACAGAGTTGTTTAGCCACTGAGCCACATCTCCAGACATTTTTTATCTTAATTTTATGACTTGGTATTAAAATACATAAGTATTACACACAAGTGATATCTGTGTAACACATCACCAGTATACAGGCTTTCAAGGAAACTATATACAACTTATCACAAAACAAAAATTTAAAGAGGACATAAAATGCTCCATTATACACATTATGTGTGTAAATAGAACTCATAATTGTAGTGACAACCATTTAACAGTTTAATTTATAATATGCTCCCATCAAAATTTTAGCATGCTTAATTATTTTTTCTAAAATTTATCTGAGAAAAAATATGTAAAATTGCCTCAGACCTCTAATTTAGAAGACCAAATAAAATAATTATTGTTATGTGAGATTAATGTATATTATAAACCTATATACCAATAATACAGATAAATTAATCAAAACTGAACTAAATCTGAATCCATATGTATATAAATTTTTGTTATTGTTAACAGCAATAGAATGACCTAAAAGAACTATCCACATGAAAAATAATATTGGATGTGACTGGTGAAATTATCCTATTTGAAGTTGAAATTTGGGACTGGTAGTATGGTTCACTAGTAGAGTGTGTTTGCAGAATGTGCAAGGTACTCTGTTCCAAACTTAGCAACACAACAAAAATAAAATATTTAGGGAAGATAATGTTGAAAAAAAGAATAATATTATAATTTTGGACTCTCCCTTCATCTATAAATACAATTAAGAAGCTACTCATGTTATAAGTTTCTCTTTGACAAGGTTATAAATGAGTAGAGAGGCTTAAATACATTTAACAATTTAGAAAATATCTACTTTTAATTTATATAAAAAAAAAAAAAAACAAAAAACCTGGGGTAACTGAGCATTAGTTCTTTCTTGAGTAAAGTACAACATTTGGGACCAAATCCCCAGTGAACAGCGTCACCCACAGTAAACAGAAATATTGAAGTTGTGGTACAAAACTGTCTAACCCAAAAAATATGTGGTAATTTCTAGGGTCCATGAAAGTCTCTGCAAGTGTTTTATCAGGTGGAATCAAAGCAATGAAGTAGCCAAATATCAAAGCTGTTAGTTCATCTCAATAAGAAATTTGCCTAAATTTTTCCCCAATTACTATTGCTATCAGAGGAGCTTCTTTCCAGGTTGTATTGTGGGTATAACAGGGGGAAATACAATAAACCACTGGTACACTGAGTGAGATTTTAGCTCTTCATGAGCCCAGCCCCAACCTGTTAACTCCAGTAATAAAGCAGAACTACCAATTGCTCCCAGAAGGAATTTGCTTGTACACTGAGTTTCTCAAATTGAACATATTTTGTTCAAGTTACTATCTTGTGATATTCCAAGCTCTGGAAGCAATGGTGATTGAGCATGTGCAAATCTACATAGATTGAAAACCAATGGATTTGCATTGTTTTTCCAGCACTTGTATGGACTATTATACCAAATAGTAGTTCTGAAAAAGTGTTAGAAACCAGAAATCCCTATTTCAAAAAAAATCTTTATACAACACTCCTACATACTTCACATAAACTTGACTCATGGATTTAGTACATGAATCCAAGAGGTATTCTGCACCCTATGCAGGGCTCTTAGTATGGCTTTTAAAAAATCCAAAGCCAGGTGTTGTGGCAGAGGCCTGTAATCCCAGAGGTTCAGGACTGTGACTTGAAAGAGAGCCTCAGGGTTTTAGCAAGGCTCTAAGCAACTTAGTGAGACTATGTTTCAGAATAAAACATGAAAATCATTAGGGATGTGGCTCAGTGGTAAGAACACCTGGGTCAAATTCCCAGTAAGCAAATGAAAATAAAGCAAACAAATATCTGAATAATTACAGGGATGCCAGAGTATATATTCAAGTAAAAGTATTGGTGACAATATAAATTTACTAAATATATTTTTGAAAAATGTGTTAAGGTTTTTGAAAAGCTGAAGATAAAAATGCAATATAATCCAATAATAATGATTTGGGGTAGAAGAGAAAGGCTGTACATGCCAATGCTCCAAGTGGCTCAGGAGGATAAGGAAGGAGTATCTCAAGTTCAAGATAAGTCTCAGAAATTTGGCAAGGTCCTAAGCAAGTGAGTGAGACATTGTATCACAAAGGAGGAGCAGGTTGGGGTGTATCACAGTGGCAAAGTGCCTATGGGTTGATCTAGAGTACCTGAATAAATAAAATAGAAAAGTAATAAATCTGGGTAGAAAATTCCATGCAATCCAGTAATAATATTTATAATTGTATATCTAAATGAATTGCAAAATTTTCTCAAAGAAATAACGGTTGTTCCATTTTTATTGTAGCTTTATTCACAGTGTCTATGAAATAAAAATAAAAAATAAACTACCAGACAGGCATAGTGGAGAATGCCTCTAATCCCAGGGGCTTGGGAGTCTGAGGTTAGATGATGGAGGGTTCATCAAAACAGCCTCAGCAATGGTGAGGCAGCAAGCAACTGTTTCTAAATAAAATACAAAATAGGTCTAGGGTGTTGCTAAGTGGTTGAGAGCCCCTGAGTTGAATTCCTGGTATGCAACCCCAAATGAGCTGCCTTTTACATGAAAGATGCATCAGAAGATTCCTTACAGCTGCACAATATCCCACTACTCTCCTTAGAAGCTACACACTTATTGTTCAAACTGATTTCTTTAAGGCAAGACTCAGATACTAATATTTTCTAAATAGGTCAAGCGAAATTGGTGTCTGTGGGTATCTTATGTCAGAATGTTCTAAAATTAAGCACTGGACAAATATGGGAGGTTGAAATTGAAAAGATGCTCACAGAATTCACACAAAGACCACACCACACACCAGAATCCCATGCAAGGGACTTATTTTCAGAGCATGGAGCAAATTGACAAGGCTTTCCTTCTGAAGAGAGCTTGTAGGCACTTCAGAGCAATTTTTTAGCCTGCACGAGGAATTTCACAAGCATGCTTTAGGAGTTATGTCATAGGTTTTGGGGGTGTTGACCCTTTAGCAGGCACATGTTCTCATGCGAGGCTAAGAAGCATTGTCTCAGGATCTCTAGACAAAATGACTCCTGAATCAAAACTTAGAAATCCCTAGATAAAAATTACTGCCAACCTAAGGTGGAAGCTCTGATGCAAATACTCATATGATATCAATAGAAATGAGGACCCAAATTACTGTAAAATTTTCAGTGGGGAATCTGACCTCAGACACTGTGATAAGCGAAACCACAGTTGGAGATTAAACACTGCTTTACTGACATCTGGTTTATTGATTCAACCCAAACAGAAAAGTTCTAAGGCTACTGGTTAATATCTATGTAAATCAGGTTATTAAAAATGCACTGTTATTCATATTGCTATTGACCTTCAAGTTCACTATGTAGTTTAGCTCTTGTGATTAAACTTCCCTGTAGTTTAAATCAAGTCAAATCTCATTTTCCTTCACATCAGGACAAAGAATTTTTCTGGAACGTTTGAAATGCTTTTACAGGTCATTTTAATAAACAGTCTTACATATGAAAAAAATCCTCAATTGTGAATCCATTACATTTTTTTAAAAAAAAATCTTTAATTTGGATACATTAATTATACAATTTTATTTAAAAGAGAGTCATTATTTTTAATATCACCTAATTTTTTCCTGTTTTTTTTTCTAATGTGGAAAGCTCACAAGAATAAAGTATTTAAAAAATTGCTCTCCAATTCTTTGAGAAAAAGAAAACTACAAATAAGTCATCCCTTCCAAATGAAACATATATAAAATAAATGATCTTGTTGAAACTGGAGTTTTCAGATGAAAATAAATTCCCCACTTCACCAATCTTGTCTGGGATCTTGTCTCAAAAATTTTTTTTTTTTTTTTTTTTTTTTTTTTTTTTTTAAAGAGAGAATTTTTTTAATATTTATTTATTTTTTAGTTCTCGGCAGACACAACATCTTTGTTTGTATGTGGTGCTGAGGATCGAACCCGGGCCGCACGCATGCCAGGCGAGCGCGCTACTGCTTGAACCACATCCCCAGCCCCTTGTCTCAAAAATTTTGAAAAATAAAATCTCTGGACACTCAAACAAGGAAAGAGTAAACAGAATAGAATTTATTTAAGCAAGAGGAAACAGAACTCTCATAATGTAGAAGAGAGCATAATAAAAGAAGAACTCATTTTGGTGTGCCAGCTTTGGAGTTTATATATGGTTTTGGGCAGAACAGGGGCAAAATCCATTAAAAATAGATATAGAAAAAGGTATCCTGGCTATCATCTGGGTTCACTTCCATTCTTTATCCCATCCACCTTCCCATAACTTCCATCTGGCTTCACACCTGGGACAAAGTGTTTGGGTGAAGGCATACCCACAAGTGAGCCTTAAGGGTTTTTACATTTGAAATAGGGCTTAATGGTTTTCTTAAACATATCTATCCATTAGCCTTCAGGTGTGGTTTAATGTTGTCCATTATAGAGCTGTCTTGTCATTTTACTATCTATTCTTTATTATCTTCATTTAAAGTGAGCAGGGAACCTTGGATTTGAGAATTTGAAAAGATAGCTTGGATTTATTCTCAGAACAATGGAGAGCTTAGCTGGGGTTCTGGATATCAGATAGGAGTTCTGGATATCAGAAAGCTATTCTGGATTTGAGATACTCTTTACCCTACATTTGGAAATCACAGGATACATAAAGATGGCAAGTTTAAAGCCAGCCTCAGAAACAGTATTGTGCTAAGCAACTCAGTGAGATCTTGTCTCTAAATAAAAAATATAAAAAGGGCTGGGGACATGGGTCAGTATATAAACACTCCTGGTTTGAATTCCTGACACAAACACAAACAAACATACAAACAAAAAACCTCAGGAGGAGCAAGAACAGGGATTCTAAAAACTAGAGCTTATAATATGCAGAAACCCAGATAATAGAGTTGAGGTCGTCTCCTGACGATTATTCCAGTCTTCACCACACAATCTGTGGACATGCTGGGCTCTTTCACACAGAAGCCCAAATAGAAATCCAAAAAGGTGCTGAAAACACAATACAACGATGGAACAGAAGGCCTGGGGTCTTAAAGGCTGATCTGAGATCCACTAGACTAGTCTGAGAAAACTGAAAACTGAGCTGCAACAGAGAAACCCTCTGACCCCCCAAAACTGGAGGGAAATCTGAGGAGTCCCTGGCCACCACTTCCAATTCCCGCCATTGCCAGTCTCGCTGGCTTTGAGCATTCTCCCTACCCAGCCTTAAAATAAAAATGCACACATACTATTTCCTGTCTTTCAGTATGCTTAGTGTTCCCTCAATATTTTTTTTTTCTTTTCAGCTCCTGTGTAGTGCAGAAACCTGGGGCTCCTGATCTAGGACTGGAAGCAGAGAAATGGATTCAAAGAATGGCATACTCCTAAAACAAAGGTAAAAGATGATTGTGGAAGCCCTCCCCATTATCACTGGATGTGTGTGGATTGAACAGTTCTTAACTAAGAGACCTATTGGAAAGAGATACGGCACTGTCTCAAACTGAGCCTGGTATGTCTACTGTTGGAGTGACAGTAAATTGCATCCAACCCAGAAATAAATCAAGTCAGCAAGACAGTTTCTTGACTGCTCTATTTTTGTTGATAAAAGACTGGGGATCAGCCACATGTGCTCAAGCATTCCAGTAATCTCAGCAACTAGAGAGGCTGAAGCTGGTGGATGGAGAGTTCAAATCCAGCTACAGCAATTTTGAAGCATTAAGCAACTCACTGAGACACTGTCTCTAAATAAAATACAAATAGGCATGGCTCAGTGGTTATGTGCCCCTGAGTTCAATTCCTAGTAGAAAAAAAAGCAGGTGATAAGACTTATAGATACTCCCTACAGAGCTCCATGATAACGGAGAGATAGATGAATGGATAGATAGATTGATAGATAGATAGAAAAATTAAATCATTATCTATAAGACACCATCTGTTTTCCATATGACTTCTGTGGAACTTGTGACTGAATCTTGACATCCAGCCTATAGTAAGTGGGTTTGATTTATAATAAATTATTCTAAAACTTATTAGCTCACTCAACCCTTGAGCCACATCCTGAGCCCTATTTCTTATTTTATTTAAATAAAGAGCCTTACTGAGTTGCTTAGAACCTCACCCTTGCTGAAGCTGGCATTGGATTTATGATCCTCCTGCCTCAGCCTCCCAACACACTTGGATTAAGGAGTGCAACAGTGCACTCGGCTCTGTTCACATTTTTAATGCCAGCATTTCCTCTTTGCATTATCAATTCTTTTCACGTACATTTCAAATGGATGCAGTGTTTCTAATTTTTCTCCAAGAACTGGATGGCAATTTAAAGACTTTTCTTTCTTTTTGTAAACATTTCATATTAGAAAAAACCAGAAAAGTGGAACTTGACAATTTGAAAAATAACAACAATGTGTCTCTTCTCCCTTTTTCTTCCCAGGAACAGATAACTTATCACAATGTCTTATTTGAAATACCTTTTTGAAAAGTTTTCTGTGTGATGTTTCCTTATCCTAACTTCCCATATTGACCTAATTATGGATTTAATAACTGCATTCTACAAGGTTTAAACAGACACCATGTCTAAAGTCTGCTGGAGTGTCTCATGAATATGGGTCTTTGCCTTCTAGGGAATAGTATGAAGTAGGGACTGAGGGCACTCAAAGGAGTCTCTGGAAGCCCTGAAGCTGGCAAGGATCTTTTAGTGAGACAGAGCTGGAATCTCCTGGGAAAATGAGGTAATGTGAAGACAACCCCATCTTCAAATGCAGGTTTTTTTTTTTTCAATCAAGAAATAAAGTTTTCAAACTTATCACTCAGATTGAAAGGCAATGAGTTTATTAGATGTGATGTGAAGCAGGGAAAAGAGGACACTCTGAAGGAAGACAGAATGTCTTCTCTGAAAAGATAATAGCATGACTCTCTTGTACTCCAGTATTATTGATCTAAGAAAATATTCCAAATAGTTCTGCCCAGGTAAAATTCTTGGCTTTGGACTAACAGAAGGATAACATCAAACTCTCAAGTATCCACTGCCATGAAAACTTTAGATTAATTAAGATAATTTTCACCATTTGTAATTGAAATCTTTTTTTTTTTAATTTTTTATTGTTGGTTGTTCAAAACATTACAAATTTCTTGACATATCATATTCCACACTTTGATTCAAGTGGGTTATGAACTCCCACCTTCACCCCATACACAGATTGCAGAATCACATCAGCTACACATCCATTGATTTACATATTGCCATACTAGTGTCTGTTGTGCTCCCCTGCCTTTCCCATCCTCCACCCTCCCCCCTCCCCACCTCTCCCCTCCCCTCCCCTCCTCTCTCTCTACCCCCTCCACTGTATAACCCTGAGGGTCAACTTCCATTTCCATGCAATTTCCCTTCTCTCCCCCTTTCCCTCCCACCTCTCATCCCTGTTAAATGTTAATCTTCTTCTCCTGCTCTTCGTCCCTTCTCTGATCTCAGTTACTCTCCTTATATCAAAGAAGACATTTGGCATTTGTTTTTTAGGGATTGGCTAGCTTCACTTAGCATAATCTGCTCTAATGCCATCCATTTCCCTGCAAATTCTATGATTTTGTCATTTTTAATGCAGAGTAATACTCCATTGTGTATAAATGCCACATTTTTTTTATCCATTCATCTATTGAAGGGCATCTAGGTTGGTTCCACAGTCTTGCTATTGTGAATTGTGCTGCTATGAACATCGATGTAGCAGTGTCCCTGTAGCCTGCTCTTTTTAGGTCTTTAGGGAATAGACCAAGAAGGGGAATATCTCAGCAAAAGAAACAATAAGAGAGGTAAATAGGGAGCCTACACCCTGGGAACAAATCTTTACTCCTCACACTTCAGATAGAGCCCTAATATCCAGAGTATACAAAGAACTCAAAAAATTAGACAATAAGAGAACAAACAACCCAATCAACAAATGGGCCAAGGACCTGAACAGACACTTCTCAGAGGAGGACATACAGTCAATCAACAAGTACATGAAAAAATGCTCACCATCTCTAGCTGTCAGAGAAATGCAAATCAAAACCACCCTAAGATACCATCTCACTCCAGTAAGATTGGCAGCCATTATGAAGTCAAACAACAACAAGTGCTGGCGAGGATGTGGGGAAAAGGGTACACTTGTACATTGCTGGTGTAATTGAAATCTTAACAATAATCTCTTACAGATTTTATGATTAGTAGAAATTATCCTTACTTCCCTTAGTTTCAGAATCTGGTCTGTACAGAGTCACAAAATCTTTCCTTAAGGGTAACTTGGCTTCTTCTTATAAACATTATTTTGAAACTTCATTTTTTCTGCAGATAACCATTTGTTAAGAAATGTTACATAACCTGTCCAGTTAAGCCAGAAAGGGTGCAAGTAAATTGTTTCAGGTAAAATAAAGCATGAGGTAAACATTTTGGGCCTATTTACTTTTTATTTATGGGACTGTGTATTGAAACTAGAGGTAGTCAACAACTGAGCTACATCAACAGCCCTTTTTATAAATTTTACTTTATTTAGAGACAAGTTCTCACTATTTTGCTTAGTGCCTCACTGATAAGTTGCTGAGACTGGCTCTTAACTCATGATTCTCTTGCCTCACCCTATAAATCTAATGGTAATATAGGCATGGGGCACCATGCCCAACCTACCACTTATCTTAAAGGTACTTCAATTTTTATTACAAGGCTCTGTGAATAATACTATCATGAAAATGGAAGTGCAATGTATTCTATGATGTAATGACTCTAATTTGTTTACATCCATATTCAAAATTACTAGTACTGGATCATTTTATTTAACTATATTTTTATTTTAACTTTTTGAAGAACCTGAATACCATTTTCTAAAACAGCTTTATTTAATTTATATTCTCACCAACATTTTTACAACTGATTATTTATATCTATGCTCATATATTCTGGAGTATCTACTATTTTTTCCATTTTTGTTTCTTCTTCTAAATATTTATTTATTTATTTGTCAGAGACAGACAAATTCCTTTTATTTTATTTATTTATTTTATCTGGTTCTGAGGCTTAAACCAGTGACTTTCATGTATTAGGCAATTGCTGTACAACTAAGCCAGAACCACAGCCACTATCTTTTGGATTTTTTTAGAAGGTATTCTGACAAAACTACAAAGGGTGTAGGATTTTGCCATTTGACTGATGCATTAAATTGCTGATACTAGCTTGTCAGAATTTAGGCTGTCAAGTAGCCAGAGGCAGAGTGTGCTTTAAATACTTTCTCTGATCAATGGGGGATCATTAATTTTTAACACATTTCTAACACTACTGCTGGGAATTTTAGTCCTTAGATGTAGTTACACACAATGCAAATCCAATTGTTTGCTATGTATGAAGATTTGCACATGCTCAATCTCCTTTGCTTATAGATATTGGAAGTTTAGGATAAAATTTCTTCAACAGAAGTTGCTAATGTTAGACACTCAGTGCATGGAGAAACTTTTTTTTTCTGGAAACAATTGGTAGGCTTAAAATTATTATTGGGGTAAACAAGGGTAGGTCAGGGCTCAGAAAGTGCTCAAGTTACACTGAGTCTATCAGTGGTTTGCTTAATTTTACCTCTTGAACCCAGAATTAAATCAAAAGAAAAGCAAATTTTCCAGCAACAGAAGTAAGAAAACCACTGGTAAGTCTATTCTTGGAACAAACTGACACCTTTGAGATTTAACTTCTCTGCCTTCAGGTTGTGAAACACATGAAAAGACTTACTTGTTCATAGAAGACCACCACTTTGTCATTTTTATACTTATATATCACTTCTTCTATAACCAATGAATAAATTAATGTAGAAATTACAGAAATATTTAAAGTCGCTTTTATATATCTTGATAGCCCTCTATTCAAGGTGTCCCCTGACTTTGGGGGAATTTTGTCCCAAATATGTGGCACTTCACTCGACAATTCAAATATCCAGGTCTACTCCACCTTTTTCCTACTCATTTCACTGTAGTTATTTTCTTTATTGTCCAATGTACCTACATCTCTGAATTCATTCATGACTTTGTCAAATAAGGATCCATAACATAAGTATATGTGTATTCGGTGTATCAGTAAAGGGAGAGATGGTTAGAAGCTTCACATTCTGCTATATTTCTGTTATGTTTCAGTTGTTAGGTGTCCCCCAAAAGCTCCCCTGTTAGACAATGCAGGGAGGTTTGGGATACAAATGATTGGGTTATAGCCTTAATGTCATCAGTGAATTAATTCCTGAATAAATTACCTGTGTGGTAACTGAAGTGACAATGTGTCGCTGAAGGAAGTGGGAATTGGGCATGTGGCTTTGAAGTATAAATTTATGTATTTACTCAAAACAGAGAATCTGTCTCTTCTTCCTAGTCATCATGAGAGTTTCTTCCCTCTGCTACACCCTTCTGCCATTAAGTTCTGCCTCACCTTGAGCCCTAAGGAATGGAGCAGTCTTCTATAGACAAAGACCTCTGTAAAGCTAAGCCTGCAAATAAAATTTTATTCCTCTACAATTTCTCTGGTCAAGTTCTTTAGTCACAGTGGTAAAAAAAAAAAAAAAAATAAAGCTGACTAAAACAACTTCTAATTTCATCTCACCTTAACATCTTCTTTTTGTGATGAGTTTGAACATTACCTTACATATTCTGCACACAAAGTTTCAGGAAACTGTAATCCTAGCCCAAACATATAACTTTCTATTTTTAATTTATTTATTAATTTATTTTTCACATAATAAGTTACAGTTAATCTTGGGTATTGCAAATTTCATAAGAGAACTTATGTAATATTTTCGAGACATACAATTAAGATTTTTTATTTAAAATATTTTATTTCTTCTGCATTCACTCACATTCTTTTATAATCTAATATTTAAAAATTTATTCTAATTTCTTATATATGATGGCAGAATTCATTTCAGTTCATAATACACATATATGGCACGATTCTTTATATCTCTTGTTATACACAACATAGAGTCACACCATTTGTGTCTTCATACATTTACTTAGGGAAATGGTATGTTTCTTTTTCCACCGCCTTTCCTATTGCCATGTCCCCTTCCTCCTCCCCTCTGCCCTATCTATAGTTTCTCTATTCCTCCCGTCCTCCTCCTTCCTCTCAATTTTGAATCACAATCTTTATATCAGAGAAAATATTCAGCATTTGTTTTGTTGAATATTGGCTTACTTCACTTATTAGATTTATATTCTCCAACTCCATCCATTTATCTGAAAATGCCATGAATGTATTCAATTGTGTATTAATGTGCATTTTATTTATCCATTATTCTACTGAAGAGCATCAGAGCATACTACAAGGATACAGCTAAATCAATATTTATAACAGCACAATTCCAAAAATGCTTAAAACCACCAGATTATAATATTTATTTTTCTAAAGATCTTATGTACAGATATTAAAATTCTACTTTACACAGTTTTATGAGCATTGTGGTTATTGAAGATATTGAATGTTTCTTTAGATATTTGTAATCAGGTATACAATTATCTGTTCTAATAAAATTGTTTCTAAAATAAAAATTTTAAATGGAGAAGCCAATAAAATCAAAGTCTGGCCTCATAATTTATTAGGTATAAGAGTTTGTAAAATATGTTTTATATATATCTTAGGTTTTCTCACTTAGTAACTCTATAAACTATGATAAATCAACTAAGTATTCTGGGAATCTCAGTTTTATCATCTGTCAATCATTAATAATTTCTCTCAGAGTTTCTGTAAAGTTTGATAGTGCCCAATATTATTTTCCTTATTTATATGGGATTAAATAATTTTTTAGACTTCACTAAAGTAAAGTGGCCCTTAAAAACAGCAAATGCTCAATGTATTGTAGACATGTAGTATTTATAGTAATTAAATGAGATCAGAACTTCATGAGGCTTGGTTTGTTTATTTCATGATTACAATTTTATGAACAGAAAATAAGACTATGTTTTTATACCATGAAGAAGGCCTCATAGCACAACAGGTATAAACTACAGTCACTCATCTCTATGAAGACCCAATATCAAATCCATTTTTTACCTCTACTACATTTGAAAGAAGATATATCATTACATCAAAACTGGTATATAAGATGCAACCCTACTAAGAGGGAAGCACTAAGCACAAGGAATCCTTAGCACCATACATGATAAGGAGAAATCTAGGACTGAATAAAAGAGAAATCTGCTGGCATTAGGACCTGTATCAACTCAGGTGGTGTAGCTGACCCCAAAGAAAAACCAAAGCATGAGTTTTGGGGTTTAGAGAAAAGTGTGCATCAGGCTTAATTGTTCTAAGGCAAAGAGGCAATGTAAACCATAAATGTAACTATGTAGTCATGAATCACAATGAAGAGAGGGACAGAAAAACAGGCCAAAGAACAGACTTAAAGAAGAGAATAGAGTTGTTAATTCACGATAGAAGGCTTGACAATCCTTACCAAAGGAATGAAGATTTACAGAGATTGTCCTTCCTGGAAATAATTTGTGGAAGAAGAGGGTTTTGTGTTTCTGGAAAGAACTTCAGTAGAAAATATAAAATAAGAGAATGAATAGCAAAAGAATAAAGGTCAAGGAATGAATCTAGAGTCCAGTAAGATGCTAACTTAAAACTTTTTATCCTGTTTCTCATGATGTCATTGAGAATTAGTTTGTTTATTTTGAGACTAGATCTTGCAAAATTGCTAAGATTGGCTTTGAGCTTGTGATCCTCATGCCTCATTCCGTATAGTCACTAGTATTACAGACATTCACCACCATACCTGGTCTGAAATTTTTATCCATTTATTTATTTATTTTACTGATTTATTTTTTATATATCAGGACTCCTTCTGACAGTGTTTGTATTTCTTTTTTCAAATGCTTTTAATGGAATTTGTACCTTATACCCCAAATAACCTAAAAATTCACTATTTACTTAAATATGATATCACCTTGGCTGTTACTGGAAGCATGACTCTACAGTTCTTGAAATGACTTTCTAAGTATGGTTAATCATAATGCTGAGACACTTAAATTGTTTCTTAAAAATTTAGAGAAGATTTTGGCACATTAAATGTATATTTTAATTAGATTCAACAGCATTGGAAAATATGCCCTAGAGATTGTGTTTTTGTCCACTAGGGGTAATGTTTTAGACCTTATATTTGACAAAATAAATGTTCAGAATCTTCACATCTCAGTGACTTTAAAATCAATCAATATTTGTAAACCACATTAAAAAGTCTAATGTGAACAAAAGCTCATTATCAGGAAACTCTCTTAAATGACTCATGTCTGAGATGTGTCTCAGAACTAAGGGGTCCTTGCACTTCAAGAGTTTAATAGATGGCTTTTCCTCTAAAGTTTGTGAGTATCACAAGAGTATATATTCTCAGGAAAATGCCCACCTTAGTCTTCCAGGCCTTAAAAACCTCCACTTTTTTATGGTGTGCTGTAAACAGGCATAAGCCTTCAGAGTTAGTTTTCCCCTTCAGCACATTTGTCTGGGCTACTTTCCATCTTGAAGGCTGTTTACCATCATAAAATATACTCACAAAGTTATATTATATATGAAAAAAAACTTGAATTTTATTTACCTTGCCTCTTTGGATAACTCAGATATCTTTTAAAAAGTGATAGATTTTTATGAATAATTCTACATGAATTATAAATGACAAAGCAAATTTCACAGAATAAAATTATAATAAAAACAGCATGAATTATTTTGCCTTGACAAATATTACCAAATGAGAAAGAAAATTAAATTATTTTGAATATTTAACATTTAAAATTATTTTATTTAAAATTTTATGGCAGATAAGGTAATTTTAAAACTAAGTTTCCTTATCAGAATACACAATTAAAATTTTACTAACTTAAAGATTATTTCCTTTCAAACATGAGTTCAATGAATCATACCTCACAAGGTGCAAAACTCAAAAAATAAGGCAGAGACTTTGTATATTAAAAACAAGAAAAAAAATATTTCTTAGAAGCCTAATTTAAAACCTGGAAGATAACAATGAAAAGATTCCTCAGACAGAAAACATACAAGATTAGTCTGGTGAATAAATTCTCTCAACCAAGTTTTAAAATGAGAAAAAAAAAAAAAAAAACAGAAAATGGAAGAGAAGAAAGAAGACATAAAAAAATAAAATTTCCTACTGCTGAGTATAAATATTAATCTTCAAAGAGCCTAAATTCTTCCAGAAAGAAAAAAAAAAAAAAACTGTGTTAAATAAAGGTTCCTGTTGGTAAAGATCATACCCAAAGTGCTTCTCTTTTGGGAGTTCAGGTCTATGATTCACTGAATGGCGGGGACTCTGAATGGTGTGCAAACCATCACCTCCAAACCCTATGAAGGGCACAAACATTGAAAGGAGCATCCCCTTACCTTTGAAGTGGCACAGATTCTCAGCCAATAAAAATGTAACAGCCCACTCCCCTTTGCTCCCTCTCACCTCGTGTTCATCCCATAAATACCAACACCCTGCTTATGCTCTCTCTCTCACTCAACCCCCCCTTCCCTTCTGTGATCAGCCACTGCACTCCGGTAATAAAATCTTGGAGAGGTAAATGGTTGTTTGGCTTGTTAAGTCTCACCAGTGCCCTGCACCTCTCTGACCAAAATGCTCTTCCCATTCTCTTCCGTATATGCTCAGAGTTATAAAAGCAACAAGATTTGTTGCTTCCATATCCAGAGAATTCAGCTGCCTCCATTACCCTCAAACCAGGCAAATACATCTACTTTTCTTCCCCAAGAGAAAGATTCCCCCCAAACCCTAAAGTTGGAAGGACTATTAGAAGTAGTCCTTTGTACATCCAATGCTGCAAAACTCCAAGAGGGAGGAAGGCAAGTAACCCCCTGGATTCATATTTCTAGGTTAAAACTGGCAGCATGCCCTCCAGAAGACAATCTCACCACAGATCCTAACATTACAGGACCTCCACAATACCTAGATTTACCTATAAGGTATCCCCAGATAACCCTCTCAAGATCCATTTTTTTCCCAGTCATGCACAACTTGCCCTTCCATTCTGGAGGAGAAGAACACACATAAGCATGGGGTTCCCAATAGGATCTAGGAACCCACAACAACACAGTACACCCACACTCTTTTTGGACCTATGTCTACTGACTTTATACCTGCTAACTCTCTTTCAAAGCATAGTGCAGGGAAGGCTAAACCCTGTGCTCTTCTGTCCCATGAACTGTAGCCAAACTCCTTCTAGGGGGAGTTTTAAATTCTTCAATGAAACCCCTCCAAAGAACTGTTTTCATGGTGATCCACAGGCCTGTGAACATAATAACAATAAATATTGTATGGCCATTTGTAAAAGCCCGGGCCCGGCTCTCCCCATTCCATGTCCAAGTGTCTGGAAACTCAACAGGAAGCATTGCTGAAAGATGATGATTGATATACCCAATTGGCTGCCTGGCAAAAAGAGTCAAAGATCCTCTTCTCTCTCTTAAACTTGTCAATATCTCTCTTAATATGTTAAAGACTACTAATAATACAAACTATGTATAGGGATGTTGGCTGTGTTTTCAGGATAGAACTGAATCCCCAAAACTAATAACAAACCCGATAAATCTTTCTTTGGTTAAACTCAAGGAGAACTCTTCAACTCAAGACACCACAGTCAAACTCTCAGTAGTCCCTCTCTACAAGGCTGCTCCATTATGTTTTCAGTCATCGGGGAATGAACCAGTAGGAAAGTTACCTGAGAATCAATGTCAACAAACAATCTCTATATCGAAAAGTAATAAGGGCCACTGCTCAGTCTACGAGGCATCACTTTCATGTCTGACAACTGTATACCACTGTCTGCCCCCTGACTGGCAAGGCACATGTACTCTTTTTCTCTTGTTTCCCTATGGAGACATAGTTACAGGAGATACAGAAATACCAATCCCTCTCATGACACATATAAGACCAAACGTGTGATGTAATTCATGTCTCTCCTCACTACTTTAGGAATTATAACAGGCTTGACAACGGGTACAGTGGGTTTGACTACCTCCCTCACATACTATAATTAATCAATTGTCCATATAATTGGTAATAGATGACCTCGAACAGTGACTGAGTACATACTTACCCTCCAAAATCAATTAGATTCCCTAGCAACAGTAGTCCTAAAATACTGCCAAGGCTTGGGAGAAAGGAGGCCTCTGCCTGTTCTTACAGGAGAAATGTTGTTTTTATGTTAATCAGTCAGGGATACTGAAAGATAAGAATAAACAGCTACAGGAACAACTAGAAAAAAGAAAGCAGCAATTGGCACAACAAACTTATTGGGGCCTCTTCACAAACCCCCTCATCTGCTGGATTCTCCCAATGCTCGGACCTCTAGTTGGGGTCTTTTTATTTTGTGCCTCCCTTCCTTGCATTTTAAAATTCCTTCAAGGACAAATTAACAAAATCTCTAACCAAACTTTCAACAGTTACT